GCCCCGCCATCGCCCCGGTACCGGCCCCGGCCCCCGCCGCCACCAGGAAGCGGCGCTGGGCGCAGGCGCTGCGGGGCGGGGACAGCGCTGCCGGGAGCCCGGATAGGGACGGGGATGGGGCGGGAGAGCGGTGCCGCCGGGCTGAGGGAAAGGTTTGCGGTGGAGAAGAAGGGTGGTCTGGGGTTTTTTTTTTTGTTTTAAGCAAGGGGGGGAAGCGGGAAGGCGGCGCCTGGAAGCTCGTTAAGGGGGAAAGAGGGTTTGCAAGAGGGAAAGAAAGGTTGCCTGGTTGTGAAGGAGGCTGCGAGCTTGCAAAGTGGGGGGGGGATAAGGCCGCAGGGGTGCGAGGGACAGAGGGCTGCAAGGGAAGGCTTGCAGGGGTGCTGGGAAAGGGGCTGTGAGGGAAAAAAGGGGATTGCAAGGGGGGAAGGTGGCCAGAGAGCCAGGAAGTTTGCAAGAGGACCAAAAAAAAAAAAAAAAAAAAATCCCCAAACGGGCTTGCTGCAAGGAAGAAGTGTTTTGCCCAGGCCTTGGCTTTGCACGGCCACGCGCGGGGGCGGTTGGGGCCGATGAGGGTGTTGTGCGTGGGGTGCCCCGGAGGGGTGTGCTGCAGGACGCCCCTGTCTCAGCCTTCTGGGGGGCGGATGGGGCCCTGCGCCTGGGGACAGCAGCGGCCCACGGGTGGGTGCCGGAGGGTGGTTGGGCGTTCACGCCATGCCAAGGCATGCGGACAGTGCCAGGAGCTGCGGTCAGCCCCGAGGTGGGATCAGGAGAAACTTCCTACCCTGTTTACCAGGAAATAAGGGGGGATTCGTGCAGCCAGTGGGGCAAGGGCTGCAATAAACGCCGCAGTGATCGCCTTAAAGGCGATTTGTAGAAAGCACCCTCAAAGAATTGCTTTTGTGCCCCTTTTCTATGGGCCTTGGGCGCATGGAAGACCCAGGATGCTTGCCTGTGCGGGACAGCTTTGCCCCAGGCCTTGCTCGGCCCGGGGTCGGGTCATCGGTTCCCGCACACACCGTGCATCCCTCGACACCGTTTTTTCTTGCGCGCGTTCCTCAAGCTTTGAGGTTAAACGCGTGGCAAGCGGGAATTTACCCCAGGCCCCCGATGGCCCCACGCTCAGCTTTCAGCCGGGTGGGAACAGGCCTGTCCCGGGGGTCGGCGGGTCGTTTCCCCCCCCCCCCCCCCCCCCCCCCCGGGGCCAAGCCCGGCTCCCGGGGCCCTCGGATATTCTCAATGGCCCGGGACCCGCGTGGGAAAGCGGCGGCGCGGCCCCGCCCCCTGCCGCGAAAAGCCACGCCTCCCCGCGCCGAGAAGCCACGCCCCTCGCGGGAGCGGCCTGGCCCCGCCCCAGTTCGTGACGCCATCAGCGGGCGCCG